ATTCCATCATGTTCCTCAGCTCCTCTATTTTTTTATCTGTGTCCTCTCTAGATTTATTAATCATGTCTTGCCCTATGGGCACAATCTCTGTTGTTATCTGAGAAATTATTTCTGATTTCATTTTTCCCAGATCCTCTTTTGTTGCAGTTCAGGGTGTCCAGGGGGTTGAGTATCACAGTGTTCCATCTCGTTTCCTTTTGGGGTTTTAGGTGATCTCGAAGACTGGTTTTGAAACTTGCTTACGTGTCTTCTCATTTCAAAGGAGGGAGGGGGGTGCTCTTGGCACCTGCGCGACTCACCTTCTCTGAGCTTGTGGGGTGAGGTACGGCAGTCCGGAAGTCTCCTCTTGTGCCGGATTTTTAAAATATTAGTAAATAATTTATTTGAACTGTCTACTACCATATGATTGTCTAAAAATTCCTAGTTAATGTTAACCCCCTTAGACTTGTAAATACCAGAAGGCAAGGTAGTAGATCTTGTTGTTCATCATGCCTTTTTCTATTATCTTGTCCAAGTATCTGGGATGGAAAAGTGGCTCTGCAAATATTTTGAATGAAAGTAAAGCCTCATTAATTCTCTGTAATGGCATACATTCAAGCCAAAGACAATTACTCTGTCCTCCAGACTATGATTTTTATATTCATGTATCTCTAAGCCCTCCTGGTGTTCCTATTATTTCTTGCCCACTTTCTACTGGATTTGCTTTCTGCTGAAATGCTTGACTCACTCCTCATATCTGTTTAATGAAATTGCCACCAAAACCCTTTCTCATCAGTCAGCCTGGCTTGTGTTTCATTGAAAGGCTTATTAGCATGTCTAATTCTATCTGAAGAAAACACTGTTAATTAAAATACCAAATCTGTGACAATGGCACAGTTTCACTCTTGGCGTTTAGTTTTTATTTATACAAGCAACATTAGGAGACCTAATCCTTTTCCTGGGACTGGAGTAGTATGACAAGAGCTCTGGGAGCTTTCTCAGGGGTCTAGGAAAAAGAAATGGAGGTTGTAAGGGAGGGCTGGGTGAGGGTGAAAAATAAGAACCAACGGAGACTATGTAAAGGTGTAAATTTCCAATAATGAATGTCATTATATTGTATACCTAAAATGTACCAATGTTTAGAATGAATAATCGATAATGCAAAATAGGAAGAAAAGGTCCAAAGGGGTAGTGTTAGTGGGAGGGGCAGGGGAAAGGAAAGAAGGGAAAGGAAAAATGCTGAGAAATGGAAAAAATGGAAATAAAGTCTTTGTAAATAGGGAAGGGTGGAGAGGGTGAAGGGAGGGCTAGGAATGGGGAAAAAAGAAGAACCAAGATGCATTATGTAAAGGTACAATTCCCAATGAGAAATTTAATTGTGTTGTATACCTACCAATAAAAGAATTTAATGAAAAAAAAAAAAAAGAAAGAAATGGAGGTTGTAGTCAGGTCACTTGGGAAGATTAGGCTCTGGCATAAGCACACAGTAATAGCCCATTCTTAACAGCAAACTTCTGAGGCACACAGAGACTCAGGGCTCCAGGCTCAGTTCCCATGAAAAGCTGCCAAAGCACAGATTATTTCTCCCTAACAGGTTGTTGTGTTTTTTTAAAAAGCCTGAGAGTGTCACTTATATCTCCATGGGACTCTTTCAGTGACTCTGACAGCAACACTGAGAAATCTGAAGATTTCCACACTGTTTTCAGGAACCAAGGATCTGGGTAAGATGAGATAGGGTACACATGGCCATGCTTGGCCACTCTAAGGTGGTCCCAGAAACAGCATGGGACTCCACTGCAGGCTCCTTCCACAACTGCTCCCCACACGAACCTCCAGGGTCTGGGGTTACCTGTATAAGCTGAGTTCCAGCAATGGGCTTATCTCATCAGGGAAGATATACAAATTGAACTTTAAATATATATATGTCAAAGTCAGAGTAGGAAAACAACCTAATAGCACTGTAGTTCTTGAGTCTCAGCTGCCTCCCAAGACATTTTATGACAGAATCACAAAGCTGAGGCAACTTCAAGATTCTAAGTATGTCCTCCTGTAAATAGCACCAGCACTTGATGCCCTGGTAACAAGGAAGTCAGATGGCACCATTTTGCCTGGTAAACAGACTGCCTTCTAGACTGTGAAGATGTATGACTTCAAGTATATCACATGACCTCTCTCATCATATCTTCTCATCTGTACAATGGGGTTGTGGGGATAATTAATGATATGACATATATAAGATGACTTTGTAGGAGACAAGAATATGCTTTCTCAAAAAATGCCAATTAGACAAAATGAATATTCTGAGCTGAAAGCAACTCAGAAGAAGCAGACACAAGAAAAGCTCTCTGCACTCCTCCTCTTTGCCTAAAAGCAGGACATAAATTTACAAGGGTGCCCCTTTCTCCTTCTCTGCCAAGAAGGACAGAACAGAAGTTAGTCACCAGGGAAAACTTTAGACCATTGGCAGACTAGAGATGGCACCAGAGGAATTCACATAAATTTTATTCACCAGCCTGCATCTCCATTTTTTCCCCATTTATTTCCTACAATTTGCCTCCCCTTAGAAACCAAGGTCCTTTCTTTTTGTATATCACTTCTTTAAACATTATTATTCCTCTGCTAAGATACTATATAAACTCAGGGTCCAACCAAGCCTTTCAGTTATTCATTTCTGAGTACTTGCATGTATTATATACATATTAATAAACTTCTGGAGGTTTTTGTTTATTTTTTTCTTGTTAATTTATCTTTCATTACAACTTAAAACTTAGAAGGAAAGGTACTGTAGAGAGTAAATTATTTTTCTTCCAATATTGCTTGCACAGAGTAGGTCGCCAATAAACTGGAGCTACATGGATTAACATCATCATTGTTAGTCCATTCTCATCTCACACTGGCCTAGTCTTCCCTTCATAACTGCCTTTATTTTCCCAGAAGTGTTCCATGAGACTAAAACATAGACTTTGGAATAAGAATGTACTGGGTACCAATCCTGATTCTGCCAATTACTAAGGGGGTGGTTGGGATGGGGATGGGGGTGCAGAGGGTTACAATCTTAAGCAAACCTTGCAGCTTCTCCAAACCAAATGGAACAATAATAGCACTCACCTCAAAAGATGCTTATCAGATAATTCGTGGAAGCTGGCCAGTTCAGTGCTTAGCAGATTCCATGTGTCCCAATGTTAATTATCTTCTTTAGGATTTGGAAAGGGATTGTCTTTGAAAACCTGAAGTTTACATGAAGAAATAAATAATAGATTTAACTCCAAGACTAGGTTATTTTTTAACCAAATCTGTAATGGGTAGAATCAACAGAATGATACTCTGGGGCAGGGGGATTTCCCTAGTCTTTCTCTCTCCACACCCACATGCTTTGGAGCAGTTTAATAACTGCCCTGATATCCAGAGAGGCCCAACAGGACTGTTTCTGTTCATATTCTTAAAAGAATAGAAGAGTGTAGGGTTATTAAGCAATTATTTCCTTGATTCAATTCCCTCTTCAATATTTTTGGCAGTTCCCTTGCCTCTTAATTTGGCATTTTAACATCTCTAATTAAAGATCCTTCAATAACTCAGAATTACTAGGAGTTTAATTTGCATACTTACAGTGAGGGGACAGAAGGATATTGCTAGGACTTACTTTGCCTGGGGACCCCAGTGCCTTGCAGGAAATGGGCTGTGGGAGATTAATTTTAAAGGCAAGCTGATCGGGCTGAGTAGCAACAGTGACTCTTATAGCACTTTTCTTTCATGTTAAAATTCCTTAATATTTGTAACAAATTAATTGGAAAACTGTTACTGGCTCCCTTACTACCACATACAGATATGTGCACATGCATGCACATATGTGTGTGTGCACACACACACACAGATTGAACTTTATCTCCATGATACTGTATTTGACGATCATAATATATACCACACCCAGCACCATAACATCTACCTAGTATGCAATTAATTAACAGTTGTTGAATAAATGAACAAATACAAAGTTTCCTATGAAGAGAATTCTTTATGGCCCTCTTTTCTCGGTAACAAATTCCATTGTTTGGCTGGAACTTTAGGGCCAATAGTTCAGAGCCACTGAGGAAAGAAAAGGAATCAGACAGCTTTATTAGTAATATAACTGGGTTGAGGTTAGATGTGTAGCTACAATGGACTTCACAATGAACTCACCAGCACCTGTCCCTCACTCCCAGCTACACAACCAGAGACCACCCTCAGTAGGTCTGGCCACATTATAAATGGCAAAAGGCAGATCAAAATAAGCCAGTCCTGTGGACCAGTGGCTCCAAATTAAATCAAAAAGGGGAGGGGACTAATCAAGCCATATGATCAACCTCAAAGTCAGACAACACACACTCATGTGCAAACATGCCCAAACACATACATGAGGAAGAATAAGCAGAGCAATAGACTAAGAACAGAGCCAGAAAAGTGAAATATTTCATGGGTTAAAGTTTTCCCACTGGAAAACATAAAATAGAAGTTCTCCTAACAAAAGCTATCAGTAACAAAAGTACATCCTTTCAGAGACTAAGACATCCTGCAGCTGTGGCCAGGCTCTGCATTAGCTTAATAAGTGAAGACACTTAATTTATACTAGAAAGGCAATTGTGAGGGTCTCATGAGCCCCAAACCAAAGCCCACAAAGGGCCAGCCCAACTCAGTATTGCATGGAACCAAGAGAGGGCCTTCCAGAGCTGTCTGGGGCTGCTCCATGAGGGGCAAAACAGTTGAGGTTTTCATGTTGTGAACGAGCTGACAGCCTCCACAGTGCCATCAAGGATGGAAAGGCACAGTCTCTTACTAGAATGTAAGAGACTGAGGCAGCTGGAGGTTAGATGAAAGCTCATGCTTGTCTGGAAGTGGGACTCACCAAAAGGTCGCTGAGGGTGGGGAGAACAGGGAAGGTCCTACAAAAGTTTCAATAGTCATTGCTCCTCCTTCTCTTGCACCACCCTCCCATTGTTCCCTCCCTTTTAAGGGCACCTTGTCTCCCCAAACAAAACTCCAAATGCTCTTGTACCTTACTTTCTCTGGCTGTCCAGAACCTACCCAATTCTGTGGTCCCAAAATCATAAAATTGTTTCCATTTTCCCCATGATATCTTCAAAACTCAGTCTCTCTTAGAGAACTTAAACTAGATACTAAGACAAAAAAGCCTTACTGAATTAATGCATGTGAAGGTTACTGGTTTTTGGGGTTTTCATTTTTTTTTATTCGTCCAAAACTTAACTTGGTATTCACCAAGGGGTGAGGGGAGAAGGAAAGTCATTACCATAGGCTTTAGGGCATAACATTTGTCTCCCTCTTGAAGTGAGTAGGAGAAAGGACCACCATTGTGGTCATTAGGTAACATCTCTTCAAGAGAAAGAGACATTACTTCTTGCATGTCTGTCTTGCACTTTATCCCTTTGTTCCTATTGCACTGCCCTAAGCCAAACATGACCACAGAGCCCTCAAGCTGGTTATCATTGCGTGTCCCCAGGTCAAAGGCACACATACCAATCAAAGTGGAACCCCTGGGCTAAGAATTCTGCCTGAGAGCAGAAACTAGAAAGCCAGAGTACCTCTGAATCTCACTCAGTTTATTCTTTCTTCTCCCTCAGATTGGCCCAGAAAATGGACTTCAGGTGAGTTCCTTGTGTTTACTCTGCTTCCTTTAGAGCCCAAGAACTATACTCTTCCTCGATTTTTCTGAGGTCGAGCCAAGACCTATAGGGCACATTTAACCAGGGCTCTCATTAAAACTGGTGTTGGGGACAACCTGGGAAAACCACACGTAGACTTAGCCTGGTTCTTAGTGAATCCCATATAGCAAGGAAGTTGGTAAGGCAGCCGACAGTGATTCCTAACAAGTATTCATACACTGTGGTATAGAAGAAAGGGTGAGAAATTTAAAATCCTACAAAATCTGGGCTTGAGTACCTACTCTAGTCACTTCTTCACTGTTGGATTTACATCAAGTGTATACCCTTCCTCAGAGCCTCTCTTTCCTCACATTTAAAATGGGGTAATGACTACCTCTTAGGACTTCTAGGATTAAAAATGAAATTATGTAAAGTGACCTGGAACAGAGCAGGACTTCAAGAAATTTAAATCCATTAGAGAACTGCATGTGCTTCTAAGTGTTACAGCACATGATCCTTTCAGGATAAGATAAAGTAGAAGTTATTAGCTCTTTTGTATGGTTTTCGTTTATTTATTTAAGTGACCTGATCTGTGGTCCTCATTCTGTATCTCCAACATCTAGCCCCATGCCTTTGACTACTAGATACTCATAACGTCAAGCTGAATACATGAATTAATGAATAAATTAATGAATGAATGCATAAATTTTTAAAAACCTGTAGAAAAAGATTCCATGTGATCCTCCTTCCTTGGAAATCAAGCACCCTTTAGAACAAGGAAACAACCCTAAACATTGGCCTCAGCTGTAACCAAATCTTTTTCTAAGTGTATGTAGCTATTTGGGTAGCTTAGTCACCAATAATTTAATTTAAAAACACAGGAAAATTATTTCAAGAGTGTGCTGATTATCTTATCTCTTTAAACGTAAGTTTCTTTATCTACAAGTTAGGAAATATAGATGGAAAAAGAACATAAATAGTAACTTAATATTATTTATATTATATATAAAATATGTTATATAAATTATATTATAATTATATTATTATGTAATTCTGCACTGCACAAGCAGAGAACGCTCATGCACACATAAACTCGTCCTTGTTCTAGGCCACAAAGAAAGTCTCAGGAAATTCCAAAAGATATTCTTTCACTGGCCATGATACAATAAAATCAGAAAATAAGAAGATAATAGCTTTCTTACATTCACAAGAAAATAAGATGAAAACATAATAAACTAAGTTTTCCATTTAAGAAGTTAGAAAAGTAACAGTGAAACAAAACTCAAATGCTATCTAAACAAATAATAAAGATAAAACCCAAAATTAATTAACTGGAACATCAAAAGTAGTAGAGGTATCTGAAGAAAAAGCAGGTTCTTTCACTTGGGTTTGGTTTAGTTTTTTTGGCACCAGGAATTGAACTCAAGACCTTGCGCTTGCCAGGCAGGCACAGAACCACTGAGCTAAATCCCCAGCCCAAGCAGGTTCTTTCAAACAACATAATATTTAATTTTTTTCAAGGTCGAGAGAGAGAGAGAAAGAGTAGAATAATTATAAACAATAGGAAAATATGATAATAGATACAGAAGTTTTTTAATTATGAGAAAATACTCAGAATAACTTTATACTAATATATGTGAAAGCCTAAAGAAAAATTAGCTTCCCTCCTCCAAAAACAAATACATAAAACACCTGTATTAATAGCAGTAGTCATCAAATAAAATAAAGTAATAATAAAAACTCTACTTCTAATAAAGACAGCAAACTAAAAATGGATTCATACAAAGCTACAGAAAATTTCAAGTAACAGACAATTTCCATTTTATACAAATCATTCCAAAACACAGAACTGTAGGAACCTATCCAAAAGACTTTGAAGCTCTAGTATAAAAATAATAATAAAATTAGACAGAATTAAAGAAAATTATAGATTCATCTCATTTATGAGTTTAAATGTAAAAACCCTATATAAATATAGTAGGAAATTGAATTCCAGCAGTGATTTTTAAAATACTATACCAAAACCAGGTAGAGTATATTCCAAAAGTACAAGAATAATTCAACATTTAAAAACCTATCAAAGAAACTCAGTACATGAACGGGCATTAGAAGAGTACAGTATCAGCATAGGAGTAAATAAATAAATCCTGTCAGAGAAAAGAGAATCCTGAAGCAGCCTCATGAATGCATAAGGAGTGTCTGTGGTACACAATGATACCATTCTTTCTGGGGAGTTGGTACTTGCACAGAACACATCTCAATCCTTACTTCTTCCCCTTCCACTGCCTTCCCTCCATCTCTTGGTCCCCTTCCCATTTGCAAAAGATCTATAACCCTATTTCCTATTATCTATCTTTGATTTTTTTTCTCTTCATTTATATTTTGGGTTTCTCATATAAGAGAAACCATGTGATATTGAAGCTTGTATGTATGATTTACTTCACTTAACATTATGGTCTCAAATGCACCCATTTTCCTACAAATGACTCAAGTTTATCATTCTTTATGGCAGAGTAGTGCTCCATTGTGTATAAATACCATGTTTTCTTTATCCATTCACCTGTTGATGGACAGATAAGCTGCTTCCAATATTT